TCTTGGTTATATGTTTCTCTTTTTCTCTGCATGAGGGTGTCTCTGGCGTCGTCTTGTCGTCGCCGAGAGCACGCCTTAACCGTTATACTCTGTTTAACCATAGTGCTATCATAAAGCCTTCGATGTCCAGGCAAATTCGAGTACGGGAGCGAAAAGCGAAAAGATTTGCTCTAGATTCTTTCGACATAGATGGGATTGCTCCAGGATCAAGTGTGGACCATTAAAGGTTAATACCTGGGAGGGTAGAGCATCATATCGCCTCAATTCTCAATCCGCCCCACTCCCCGCGAATGGCGTCGTTTTTTCGGGGTAAATGCCCTTTGATCGAGGACGCACATAGATGGTTTTTATTGTTGTTAAACGATCAAAAAAGCGTGCGCAATGCTAGTGTCTCCCAAATCGAGTAATGAATCGTCCGGATTCGCTCTTGAATAATTGGAGAACCCAGGACCGTACCGATTATCTTTGACCGGTTTCCGTAACACTATGTCTAGAGAAATGTGTACGTCTTTACATTTCGTAGCGTCTGCCGGATAGAGACTACGGATCCTAGAAAGCAATCTGAAGTGAAACCCCACCTCATACATCATTAGCATCTTGGCACTCCTGCTGTGCCCGACCCAAAGCTCCCAAGCTTAAGTGTCGTAATTTGACGGTTAATTCGGCTTAAATGAGCTCGCGCCGGCTCCGAAATACCCAATGTCACTTTCGGTTCCAGCAACGAGGCGCCGATAATCTAGTGTTGACTAAGCGTGACGCGAGTGATCCCTTACGGCTTGTTCAGCCTTTTGTCACTTTCACAATACTGTAAACCCCGGGACTGTCGCCCTAGCGGGGCACGGGGTGTGAGACATGGAATTGGTCGTTGTCAGGTCTCCACAGCATCTCTACTCTCTGGAGTGCCCGCGCTCGCCAGCGCGCCAAATGAGTATCACTCTGAGCTGCTAGGGATTTATCTGCAGAATGCGCAAATCTATCGCGCCTATTCGTAATCGATCTGCACAGGTTTACTCTCTATTCTGGTCCCCGTCTGGTTAACCTGATGCCAGATTGACGTCATCTTAATTAGCCTCGTGTAGACGGCCTCCAAGGTCACCTCGATGTCTAGAACGGTATCGGGAGTCGCGGGCCTGCTAGTATTTATCGACTACTTCTTGGTAAACTCGCTTTTATTCGAATAAAAGCCTATTCTACTCGTAGAAGAACATGGCAATGTCACGATCAATCAGTCACATGCGCCGTTACAAGCATCATACAGCGTCAAAACCGGCCTGCTATGCTTGGTCTAGACCCTACTTTTTCTCCTCCCCGTCATGCACTGGTGGAGGGGGGCCTAACTGTCATCACGTTCGCATTGTGCCCATGATATAGCGGTAGGTGACTCGACGTATTATGACGGGTATCCCTCCGCGGACGACACTCGCGGGTATGCTAGACTCATTCTAGACTCCCTCTCTACTCGAGACACTCACCACATGGCCGACAAGAAATAAAGGTGTATCCAGTATATTTGTCCCCTGATCGAACTGGTCATTGCGACCCCGTTTGGGAACCCTTAGTCCCAGAACCACCCAAATAAGTCATCCTTACGATTATCGTGCCTACTGTCATAAGCCTAGTAATCGAAGTGTCTCTCATCGTCTCACGGATTTACAAGTTGTTTAACGCTTACTACCCCAAATGGTGATGGACGTAGCCTGCCCTCTGTGCCATGGTTCGGATAATTACATGTCTAAACATCTTGACCCTCGGGTAACAATGAGGCGTCGTTAAGTCCTAGGCCGTCTGCCCACGATTCTAACACGCTATTCGGCATTAAACTTAGGGCCGATCAAGACAAGCACTAACGGCTGCTAATGAGTTATAGCCTTAAGGAATCTGAGGCTCGAAACGTAGGCGGCCCACATACTACGGTTGAGAGCTTGAATCAGCCTCGTAAAGCCGAGGAAGGGACGATTGGACACATAGGGGTTTTAGCGAAGATAATAAGCATTGAAGCTGACCGTTTTACGGATTTATTATTTAAGATAGTAATCGCACTTGCTTACGGTGCTTGTAATTGCTTCGGGTGGCGTTTTTCCAGTGTCGTAAACGGCCATTAGTCTATATGTCATCTTATAACCCTACCCTTCATACACCTTGAGTCTGCCGTGGCTGTTCACGCAGGTCCAGCAACGTCTGGTCCTGCATTGCCTGGTCAGGCTAGGTTCGCCCCTCCAGGCGCGCTAGGTTATGAGCGACATGATGTGACGCTTGTTGGTCTTAATGCCGCTCAGTATTTGGAAAATGGGTAGGCAACTGCACAAGCTACCGAACTTCGTATAGTAAAGATCTTTGATACCTATCCCCCCCGACGGTTGTATTCAAGCGTATGCGATCCTTTTCCCATGTTAAAAGTCGGTTTGTAACGCTGGTTGAGCTGTACCGACGGAACCAATTGAGATTCAACCGGTCCGTACCCAGGCCAGCATCGTGTATAGTCAGAGCGGCTTCGGCAGTTTCCAGGGACCAACAACGTGCTGGCTGTTATGGCGAATCTGGCCTGCCGCGGTCACTCTAGAGTTATACGAGGCGACTGCAGGGAGGCCGCTCCCACTGTGCGTGTTACTCTCCCTGGCGGGCATAACTCGCATTACCCAATCACTCACGAGCAAGGTAGGCATCGAGCGGCTTCATCGAGAAACGTACGCTTCTTGCCATTTCCAAGTCAGCGAGCAAAGCTATAACACTACAGATGTCAAATATATCACCCATCTAATGCCGCTCAAGTGCCACGGGACAGAATAGGTTCCCAGCCGTTCGGCAAATCAACGGCAAGTCGTCGAAGGGATTCATCTGTAATGATTGGGTCGTGATCGTAACCCAACAGAGTCGCGCAGCCGGCGCTTAATGTAAGAGAATGGTAGTGCAAGCTAGACGCTATCTTAGTTGTGTATAGCCGCGCCTGGAACCAGCAACATTACCTGGGTTGAAATTTGTGTTAGTATTTCCGAACTCACTCCTTTTGTGACGTGTTGGTACAAGTCCGCGTCTTCCGTAAAAGGCGTTAGTCACCAATCGGTAAGGACAATAATTTGCAAACTAAAACGCACTGAAAGCTTTCAACTCTCCCGCGTATAGCACTAGATTTCAAACTTGTGACCTGGGGAACGTCAAGGTGCGCAATTGCCATACCAATCTGTTCTTAGGTTTCGGATACTACCACGCTGCAGTCACCTGGGTCGTTGTAGCCACTCTTGCATCTGTTTACCGCGAGCAGAGGTCCGCGCGCGGTTCAGGTGATTTGGGGTTGTCGCATGTTGGTAATGAGGGGCATTGGACAAGATCTTATTTGGGAGCTACTCCGACTCATTAATGTGCTCTCTAAGCCTTCCTTCTTCACGACTATAGGCTGGCGTAAGAGATGGGATGAGGCTAGCTCGCATGGTGGTCTAGGTATCGAGCCGAAGAGATTACCCTTTACGTGGAAAACTAGTGCTTGGATTAGCTTATTTCATTATAACCAAGACCGATTTGTCGCAGGTGTATTCTAAGGCTCTCAATGACCGGCTCCGGGCTGA